ACGCATGGCATAAATAATCACACATGGACTTGAGGGACTATTGTTACGTATCGTAGTATGGAGGCTCCACGTGGCATCGCATTGGGTAGGTGGGACCAGCCCATCTAGGACCGTTTGGCACTCCAACGCCACGCCAAAGGCCCGGCCGTTTGGCTCACTAGTGTGGCAGTGAGATCCACTGCATCACATGTGGCCACATAATTTTGCCATCTCTCAGTCCAAAATTTGTTAAACCCCTCGGTGGCACCCCTCACCTCGAATGGGAGCATCTTGATAAGTGCGGGGGCGATCTTGTCGTCCCTGCCCCCCAGGAAGTTCCCAGATTTCCCTGGGGTCCTTTCAACTTTCTTTGAGGTCTCAGATGCCTCCTTCGCCTCTTTAATGATTTTACGGGACTAAGCCACCGCGCCGCGTCAATGGAAGATTGGAGGAGCTTCGGCTGTTGGGCCCCTCCTTTGGCAGAATGGGATACTGTGGTCCCAAAACTTGACCCATCCCCATGGACCAACTTCCTCTTCTTCTGAGGCTCCTTAGCCACGCCTTTGTCCTTGGCAATAGGCGGTTTCCCTCCTTTGGGAGCCTCCTCGACCGCCTCCTTTGGGGCCTCACCCTCAGCCTCCTTTTCATTCTTATTTTTGCTGAGGCGGTCCAGCTTGGCCTTGGTTTGTTTGGCTCCCGAAGACCCAGGATTCAGAGTCTTGGCCCCCGCAGTGGATGTGGCCCTCATGATACTAGTCATGTCAGGTAGGGCGTAATCCTTCTTCAAAAATTTATCTACAATCATTCAGAAAAGAAGTTATTTCATATGTGGAACTGAAGTGCCTACCTATTCATTCAAAGAAGAAGCTAAGTGCAATAGCCTCTTACCTTTTGGGGCCATCAGTCTAAAATCTACAAAGTATTTGTTCTGTCGATGAGGTGGGCAAAATTTCGGAGCCTCGGAGGTCGTCGGTATATGTCTTCGATAATACCCCACTCAGCTTCGGAGAGTTCGTACCTCGAACTGCCGTCTGCAAAGTAAATACAAGTGTTAGTACCACGAGGCTATAAATGAATTACAAGCAATCAAGACGAGGCACTCACAGGCTTCGTAGTA